CTTCTCTTCTCTTCTCTTCTCTTCTCTTCTCTTCTCTTCTCTTCTCTTCTCTTCTCTTCTCTTCTCTTCTCTTCTCTTCTCTTCTCTTCTCTCTTCAACTTTCTCCCATGCAGAGTTGTGCAGGAGCTGACTTCTGCCACCTTAATTTCTTCATAGACCAGACAACAAGATATGGCCATACAACTGCTGCATGGTCAGATGATACTTCTGAAACAAAAAATGAAAATGAAGAGAAGGTGAGTTCTTGCACTACTCTATGCATGAGAGGTGTTTATTTTTAAAGAGCAGAGCAAGGTAGAGAAAATAAAGTCTGCTGGCTACCAAAACATAAGATGACTCCCAATCCTGAAATATATAACTTTTTGTGAAAGAAACAAAAAAGACTGCCTCTTTCACATGGAATAACAATGCAATCCTAATTTATCTGGCATTAATTTAAAGTTTCTAAAATTAATTGTATTAAACTGCATAATTTTCTTCTATCCTATATTGGATGTTGAAACAGATTCATACTCTGACTCTGATGCATTCCCAGGTTTTTTCATACAAATGAAAAGCATAAAATAGACACAGAATATATAGAACATTAAGGGAGGGGGGCAGATGTTAGTCCTCCTCTCTGACATACACACAATTACAAGATCGTTATATAGTACTTGTATGCAAAGGCTGTCATGGTCTATATTCTATGCAATATATTGGTTACTCACCCCTAATACATTTTACTTCTATTATTGCAGCTCATGAAACCATCCAACTTGCCTTTTATCACCCTATTAACTTTTTTTAAACTTACAGACTTTATTATTTATACATGTGAACTGATTGCCAAAGAAATCTGTGGTTCTGAAATATACCTTTTATGCTGCAGTCTACTTAATCTAATCTTCTAAAATATGTCTGTGCTAATAGATTAAATGTTAATTTATGTCTGAGAAACAATTTTTTCCATTTTTTAAAAAATAATTATTACTATTTTTATTTCAGAAGAATGTTCACTTAACAACGGTGGGTGCAGCCACCAGTGTTCAGTAGTTCCTGGAGGCAGAATTGTATGTTCATGCCCCCCAGGACTGTACTTAAATTCAGACAATAAGACCTGTGAATATGTAGATTATTGCACCAAACATCAGAAGTGCAGCCAAGTATGTGAACAGCATAAAAATGCTGTTAAGTGCTCCTGTTATGAAGGTTGGAAACTCAGTAAAGATGGTGAAAGCTGTGCTAATATTGGTAAGCTGACATTTACTGGTATATTCACTACTACAAAGTGCCTCTTATGAAAATTTCACTGTGTCAAAATGACCCATTTGCTTTAGCGAAGCAGGAGGAGTCCCTGGTTGTTTTAGTTTTAACTCTTCTGATCCAGATGCTTCACAGTTTGTTTCCATTTAGAAGACTTATGTAACAGTTGTGAAAGTTGCATAAGGTATAATATAAGGTATTTTATGTCCTTTTTTGTTTACTTTAGTAAGATAAAATTAACCTACACCATCAGATGTTATTTCATAAGATAAATGCCATTGAATGACAAATTTAGAAAATATTTTCCAAAACGTGGATTAAAAATATGGTCGTCTATATATGAAAGTGTTTACAGAAGCCAAATATATAAACTAGGTAATAACAAATTAATCCTTTCTTATAATATTTCTCTGAAAGCGCATCTGATATATCAACTTTTCTGATAACATAATTTGTTAAATGCTTTTGATCTAATCTCTATGATCAGAGGCAGTGTTTGAATATTTGGCTTTCTGCATATGGGTTGCTACTAAGTGATATTTATGCATCAGATATTGCTTGATATCACAAAATGAATAGAAATAATAATTAAAACACATACAGACCACTTAGTTTTTTAAGAAACACCAGATAGCATCACCAAATTTGGTAATTCCTAGGCAGGATATTCATATGTAAAATGTAATTCTCATTTTTCCATTTCCACCAATAATGAAGGAACTTGTGATTCAAAAGTTTTGGATCTATTTTTATAGAGGTTGGCTACAACTGAAGTATCTTATTTGATTGTGTTTATTTTTGCAATGGTAGAGGGTCACTGTGCTTTTGAGTCAAACTGTAAATTTGGATTATCATGCCAAATTTGTAACACATTATGAGCAAACTTTCTTAGGAAGGAAGGAAGATACACACATCCATACCTACCCAGATGCACACTTTTTTTCATCATACAATGTTCATAGACTAAATGGAATAAGTTATTCTATGGCCTGGAATTAAAAAAAAAAACATCTTGAAGATTTTTGTCTTTTATTGTTTTTTTCACATTTATTAGAAAGATTATCAGATTTGTACCTTTAGGCTTCCATAACAAGCCATCCAATTCATAAGCCCTCTTCATTTTCTCTGAATAGATCAGCAAATTTATGGAACATTTGTCTTATATAGAAATTAAGGTAAAACTATAAACGATTAAAATAAGGGTTGAACATGGTCAGTTACCTCCAAGATCTATAGAACATTGAAGACTTTTGTTAATGGGGGGGGGGAGGGAAACTGGGACCTGAAAGCTTTCTATTTTCCCATATGTGATAATTAGGAGGAGAACAGCTGTATACTATAAGGTTAAAACCCTTTTTCACATGTCATAGAGGTATGTTTTGGAATAAAAAAAGGTTATTCCAATTCTCAGTAATTCTTCTCAATCTCCTATAAACATTCACACTCTCCAACATATAGAGAAAGCAAGCAAGAAATACATGCATCAGTTAAATTCTCTGGCTTGGTGCTTGCAGACAATCCTGATCAGTGTTGTGTTGAGCTAGAATCAGGGGGACCCAAGTTCAAGTTCATCCTTAGCCACAGAAGTCACTTTCTCTCAACCCAACTTACCTTCCGTGGTGGTTGTGGAAAGAAAAATCAGAAGAGAGTGCACTGTGTGTGCCCCCTGGAGCTCTTAAAATATAGGCAGAATATAAACCAAATAAATAAAAAAAATAGAAAAGTTTCAGGAAAGTGGAAAGTGTTACGGCCCAGGCTCAGGGCTTGAATTCTGAATCTGACCCTGAAGAAGTTGCTCCAGGTAAGCCTGTGGAATGTCAGTCTCAGGAGAGACAAAGCCAGGAATCACCTGAGGCTGATCAAATTCAGGCACCACCTGAGCAGCTGGAGAAGTCAGATGAGGATGATGTAAGGCCTCCCAGCCTCCTCAGCCAACAAGTAGAGAAGATACAGAGCAGATCTGAGGCTCCTTGCTAAGCAAGGGAGTAAATATCTTAATTAGTGATAGCTGGGTGCAGCCTGATTTAAGAGGGAGCCCTGACCTACATTCTTTTTGCTGGAAGCAACTCTCTTACCTTGAGCAATGTGTGTGACTTCTGCCCATGAAATTCTGACCTTTGTACTGGCTGACAACCCTGACCCAGCTTTCTGAAACTTGGACTGATTTTGGGCTATTCTTCTGTGCATTCCTGTTAAAAAGGAAATCATTCAGGCAAGCATCTGAGACTCTATTTTGGTTTGCATGCTTTGACTGTTATCTCCTGACCTTGAGTAAACTGTGAGCTACCATAGCAACTGTGTGAGAGTCAGTATTTGAAATGGGGAGCAGGACAGAAAGAGTCTTCTTCTCTTCTTGAAACTCCCATCTTTTAATAATTGAGCAGTAGTTGATGGGGCTCCCTCTCATGGCCTATTTATAGTGCTTTCCTCCAGTCCTTGAATCAACAAAAAATACACTAGTATCGTTTGAACTGCTCGTCTTGCCAAATGCTGTTCTGCCTTATTGACAAAGGCAGGGAGTGGTGCTGTCCTTATGGTTTTAACACAGGACAAGTTAAGGAAAGCAAGTAGTGGGTTTCCCTGGCTTAATTTGTCCTCCCATTAAACATCACCAGCTTTAACATGGTCTCCTTAACATGAGTTGGGGCTTGGTCTGAGCTGGGAAGGAGATGAGTTTTGACAGCTGGTTAGAGCAATGGATTTACCCATCTAACAAATCATGCTCTCCTCTATTAAAATTCTTTGTGACAATGTGTTCCAGGAGAGCCCAATTATCAGTGATATCAGCTGATAGTAAAGTTCCTTATGGACAAAGGTTTGGTGCTATTCTAGAATAATGCTCTTCCAGAATATTGCTAATTTGGAATACTGTAGTTCTAAATCTGGGTCCTTCTAAAGTATATATACAAAACATGTTAATCTAAGTTTAACCATTTATGTATCATGTTTGTTGCAGGTAAATAGCTTACCAATCTCTCCAGTCTTATTTCTCAGGTCAGGGCTGTTATTCAAGTACTTACTCACATGTAAGCCCTTTTACACTTCCTGGAGCATAGGGCTTCAGCAGTAAAAATGTGCTGCAGGATTGCAAAAATGAAATCCTGTGCATGCACACTCAGAAATAAACTGAGCTCAAGACAGATTCCTAACTTAAAAAGAGTTATTTTAAGGCTGCTGCTCCCCCTTCCCTCTGTGGAACTAGCTGTCCAATCTCTCCTGAAGCCCAAGCCAAAATGGTCATGGAGGGTAATGCTAAATGACTGGAAGGGAGGGGGCATGCCCACAACAGCTTCAAGTGGCCAATAGGAACTAGGGAGAGGGTGTCATAGATTATTTTATATGTCAAGACTGGAGTTGGAAAAAGAGGGAAAACACCACTTAACTAAATTTGAATGAGCTGGAGATGAGACAAATGCAACATTACAAGGCTATGTCTTTTAAAATGGTAGGCATCTTTGTTCTATGGTTAGCAGGACACGAGGACAAGTTCATAGCTCTTGTTCCAAACAGACAAATAGCTGCCAGATTTTATTTTGAGAGAGTAAGAGAGGTTAGCAGGCAATACTGAATAGGTTAATTCACTTGCTTGGATATTGTTTCTGATGAATGGCGAGTGTCATGGCTGTTGCTGAAAGTATCTGAAAGCATGGATTTACATTAGAACCTTTTATTTCTGGCAGAAATATCTATATCTAACTATATAAATATTTTAAAGTAATTTTATTTTATTTGATAATGTTTTAACATCTATAACAGTTTATTTTATTTTTATTTATTTATTTATTTATTTATTTATTTATTTATTTATTTATTTAAATTTTCAACCGCCCATCTTCCCCCAATGGGGGAACTCTGGGTAACTCACAACAAACATTAAAAACATAAATATATATAAATACATAAAACATCAGTTAAAAACATTACTAAATGTTACAATCAAAATACAGACAATAATTTAGCACTAGGGAAGAGCAATTACATTCTTCCACTGAGATGTCCTAATTCTGTTCCAAGTATGGAACAGGCTATAGAAATAAAGATGGGGAGAAATTTGGCTTCATACATTTCCTTTAAGAAGGAGGGAAAACCTTCCTCCTCCTTCAATTTATATCCCATCTTTCTGCTGATATAAGTGGTCGGTGGGTATTACAGCAATAAAGTAAAATACAAAATATAGAAGTCAGTACATTTAAAATTAAAATCGATAACATTAATCCTTAACATTTAAAACCTTAAAAGAGATGTGCATACATCCATTTTCTTAAATTGTTACTCAAAAGGAAGTAAATATTTTTAAATCAGTCCTCAAGTTGGTCTAAATATTTTCCTGGCTCTTTTTTGGGGTTTTCTGAGATGGGGGTTCCTAACCTTGAAAAGTACTAGCCTTGTGAGCTCCCAGGGTGGCAAGAGAAAGATATGATATCAAATTCTTCTTTCTGAGCCCAGAGTTATATGTCCAATATTACATAGAGAAACCAATCAAATCTATGATTCTTAGAATATTTCCTTTAGTTTTTCCAAAAATAATGAAAATCAAATTACTGCCCTAGATTTTCTCCTGATTTACGATGAAATTTGATTTATTTATTTATTTATTTATTTATACATAGGCTTATCCCCGCCCATCTCCCCGCAGTGGGGGACTCTGGGTGGTTTACATCAAGTTAAAACAATAAATACATAATTAAAATTTATAA